TTTCCATTTATCCAATGCTCACTATTTGCAAAGTTCTGTGCTCTGCAAATACTTGTATGAGAGATGCAGAGTTTTATACAAACATTTTTATAATTTAAGGTGGGTTTTAATTTAGAAGAGGAGAAATCCTTTCTGCAAATGTCTATAAAAAATGACTATGGGCTTTGTGTTTGGACCTGACAGTCAAAGATTATTTAATGCAAGACAAGTTTAAGATCATGGAATTTAGTGGGCAAATCACACATATTCTTTGAGCACGTTCCCACTGTCAGGCACTGAGCTGGTTGGTGGAGGATAATGTAAAGATGACATTTTCTCATCTCAAGTTACACTTAGTAAAGCACACAGACCTATAAGCAAATAATTCTACCACAGTGATAAACTAGAATTAAGATATGCACGAGGAAGGATGGAGTGAATTATTTTGGCAGGGAGGAAAGCATTCAGACAAGGATCAGGAGATGAAGAGAGTTGACCATGTCTCCAGGAACAAATCCAAGGCAGTGATGGGCATGCTAGATTGGTGACTCTTGCATACTGTGACTGGGAGGCATGGAAGTCAGTGTGGTACACTCTGTACACGTTGCACCTGTCAGTAGTTGAACATGGCAGACAGAAAATGAAGGGGCACAGAAGACATGCCTGTAAGCAGACGTCTCTGTTCAGAATGATTATTTGTAATTCATATTTCAAATTACAGTAGATATGAGAAAATTATGGAGAAAGACTGATGGAATAATTATACCTGTAAGGCCAGAAGTAAATACAGAAGGATTCACCATTACTGCACACACACTAGGCACTATCATTTGAATCTGCCTTCTCTGATCTTATTCAAATTCAGGTCTTGCTGCTTCCTCAAAGATCTTGCTTAAAAATAGGAATCCTTACAAATAAAAGTCTTCAAATATTATTCTGTTTTCTGAAGGAAGAGGTCTATGTGATTTTCTTTCAAGCCACTTTATTTTTGGCAAGATTTAGAGAAAAGCTCTCCTTTAAAAAATATAAGTTTTCCTTCCTAGAGGCACAATACTCAGACATGAGGAAATATCAGTCAAGAAGACAAAATAAACATGTAATTCATAAGTGCTTTAAGCCAACTAGAATATACTAAATATTGTAGTAAGTCTGAGTTCTCGTGTGCCTGTGTGTGAGAGAGACAGGAAGGGAGGGGTGAGGGAGAGAGGGAGAGAAAAAAAAAAGGGTGAGAAAGAAAGAGCCAAAGAGGAAAAGGAAGAAAAAGAGGGAAGGAGAAAAAGAAGGAAGGAAGGAAGGAGAATGCAAGCAAGAAAGAAAGATAGAGAAAAAGAAAGGAGAGAGAGAGAAAGAAGAAAGAAAAAAGAAAGAAAAGAAAGAGAAAGAAAGAAAAAGAAAGAAGAAAGAAAGAAGAGAAAGAAAAAAGAGAAAGAAAGAAAAAGAAAAAGAAAGAAAAGAAAGAAAGAAGAAAGAAAGAAAGAAAGAAAGAAAGAAAGAAAGAAAGAAAGAAAGAAAGAAAGAAAGAAAAGAAAAGAAAAGAAAAGAAAAGAAAGAAAGAAAAAGAGAAAAGAGAGAGAAAATCTACTGAAAGGTTTTGGTCTGTGAAGTGGATTATTGGAAATGGTTAGTCCCATTCTCTCCCAGACCATAGCAGGACAGTGTTAGTCAGCCAGCAAATCCCTCAGTGGGTTGAGGGTTGGCAGACGATCATTGCTTTAGGTTTTACTCTGTGGTCTGACTCAAATCAAACCTATGTTAGCGTGCATGTGTCTAGCCATAATGGAATCTACCATTAGTGCTGGTTCCACCCATAGCAAATGGTGTTCAAACATTATCCTCACATGGAAGACCTGAGATGAGATGGGAAATTGAATAAACTACAAACCCTTCCTTATTCCAGGCAATTCTAAGTTCAACATGACCGTTCCCATTAAAATCAGCCTTATTTGTAAGGTAACTAAGTGCTTAGAAATGTCTTTGGGGATACATGGTATAATGCAGGTAACCAAACCAAACCAAACCAAACAAAAACAAAAACCTCTAAAAAGCTATGCCAATAAAACCACAACCTGAATTCATTTATCTCTTTAGAAAGTAGTTCACTTTCCTCAGGGAAAGGAATTTATTCTAGGGCACAGAATGTATCTTGAATCTGAGCAGACAGTTCTGCTTGGCCGTAAGAGGGATGGAGATTAATGCCAGTGAACTCTGATACATCCCACAGTGAAGAGATCATGCCTTGCAGAGATGGGCTAATGATATAATTTCTGTTTTATGAAGAACCCCACTCCATAAAAACAATAGCATGCAGGCAGCAACATCGCTTAGTGGAAAGAGAACAGATTTTGGAATTGATTAGGCACAGGTTTATTTTTCAGCTCTGTTGTCAGAGCAGTCACCTAATCACAAAGACATATTTTATTTTTTTAGAGACAGTGTCTTATTCTATTGCCCAGAAAGGAGTGCAGTGTTGATATCATAGCTCACTGTAATCTCGAACTCCCAGACTCAAGCGATCCTCCCAGCCCAGGAGTAGCTGAGGTTACAGGTGTGTGCCACCATGTCTGGCTAATTTTTCTATTGTATGTAGAGATGGGGTCCCACCATGTCACCCAGGCTAGTCTTGAACTCCTAGGCTGAAGCAATCTTCCTGCCTCGGCCTCCCAAAGTGCTAAGATTACAGGTGTGAGTCACCGCATCTACAAAGACAGATTTGAAAGACAAAACTTACATTAAGTGCCTATTAGAGTACTTGGCACATGGCAAACCCCAAATGCGTCATTTTTATACAAATCTAAAAAAAGATACATCAAAAATAATGCTCCTACATAAACAGTATGTAGGAACTGATGCAGAGTAAAGAGAATGGGACTGATATAAAAGGCAAATTTCAATAAATTTCAGGAAATTAGCAAAGGCAAACTCACAGGCAATAGGCAAAAATGTAGGGACCACCCGTTCCCCACTCCTCTGCTTTCCCTAAGAATCTTAATTATTGAGAGGAGATTTGCCCCTGCATGGAAAATGTCTTTCCCCCTAGTTTTATTTAAATGGAAAACAAGGATGACCTCCAAGGACCCTGCAGTTAGGTCAGTAAAGTGCTGAGGATGCCTCTGGCACATACTGCTGAATATGTAAATATGGAGGTTCCCAGCATGTGGTTGGCCACTAATTAGTTGTAATTAGTTATATGACTTTATGTATGTGATGATGATTTAATTTCTGGAAGCTTCACTTTCCTTATCTGTAAAATGAGGAGAATGAGCAATGTTATCTAAATTCTGATTGCATTCTGAGAAACAATAACATAAGTTTTGTCTTATCAAGGATCAGAAAGTTAATGATGAAGCAAAAACTCACAGAGGTGGAACAGGAGCCTGTAGATAGCAGAGTTGAAAATTATGCAGCTCCCAGTCAATTCCAGCACGATGCTAACCCTTGTAATATAGCGAAGTGCTGTTTTCCATTCGTCTATATATCCTTAGGCAATACTTGCTTATTTTAAAAAGCCCATTTTATCTTATACATTCTGTGTGCACATACAAGTACATATCATATTATGTGACCCAGAGGCCTATCTAAATGTATAGAACTTGTTCAGTTGGCAGGAAGAAAAAAATAATAAAAATATTCCCATTTGCTTTGTTTAAAAGATGTAGACATTTTTCTTTTATTTATTTGTTTTAATTCAAGAGAAAACCAGAAAATGTAGCCAGACAGTAGCTGTGTCTTTTGGCAGTAGAAATAATCTAATAAAAGCATCACATTTCAAAGGGGGAGGGGGAGACCCATCTCAGACATTAGTAACGTCATTCTAGCCCCAAATATATTTCATTCTGGGTTTATATTTTTTGGACTCACACAGCTTATGATGATTTTATCCAAAGTTCATGCCACCAGAGTTGGAATTTTTAATACAAACATTTAGACCAGGCAGTGATTGGCAGTTCTGACTGTTAATACCCCGTAGTAGGTCTTCTACCGTGGTGAGAAGTTAAGATTTATTTTGACAAGCTTTCTCTTGGTTTTGTAGCTAGAAGCTTTATAATGGGGTTACCCCATGACTATATATTGGGTATAGGTTATTAGAATTCATAGCAAAATGGTAGACAGTCTTTTCCCATATAACCAGAGCCCGCAGATGCTGGAACTTGATATTAATGAAGTTATATCCAGTTATTGCCTTCTTTAATGGGTAGAATCTGGACATTGGATTCGAAATAGAACCAGACAATAAGTGGCCATGAATGTCAGCATCTCAATTTAGGAAGTCTCCTGATTAAAAACAACAACAACAAAAACTGACTTTTTCCTAAGCTCGTTGTCAATTCCTCATCTCCAAAAGAATCATTTGGTAGCTTTTTCACACGTACAAAAAAATTTACATAGAGTTGAATTAAGGCTGCTGAGATTTCTTCAAACATTGCTAAGTTAGGGCCGGGCATGGTGGCTCATGCCTGTAATCCCAGCGTTTTGGGAGGCCGAGGCAGGCGGATCACCTGAGGTCAGGAGTTCAAGACCAGTCTGACCAATATGGTGAAACCCTGTCTCTTAAAAATACAAAAATTAGCCGGGCTTGGTGGCATGCACTTGTAGTCCCAGCTACTCGTGAGGCTGAGACAGGAGAATCGCTTGAACCTGGGAGGCGGAGATTGCAGTGAGCTGTGATCGCACCACTGCATTCCAGCCTGGGCGACAGACTGCATCTCAAAGAAAAAAAAGAAAAATTGCTAAGTGAGGGTAATGTTTCTCAAAGTGATGATTTGAAGAGGCTTTATTAGGAGAATATTGGAGATTGTATAACAGATTGTTATATATAGCAGGGTGAAGGAAAGGGACCATATTATGATTCTTATAATAAGATTACGCACTCATTTTTTTTAACATATCAGGCTCTAGTCTTTAACAGTGTCTTCATGAAAAACACAGTAAAGCTCAGAATATACATGAATTTTAATATTTAATTTAATATTTAATATATTATGTATTTAATACATATTTAATATATATTTAATGTACAGATATTTCACTTAGGCATGACTTTATTGTCATTAGGCAAAAATCAACCTTTACTTCTTAGACATCCATCAAGATTGTGCTGATGACCCTTTGTGGTGTCCAGGGTCTTCTGAGGGATCAGCTAAGTCCGATAGAAGTGCTTGTGAGTGAGGGCTCCTGGGCTGGTCCAAACACTGTGCCTAAATGATGATAAAAGGAAGTGTCATTGGTGTTAATTCTATAATTATTGAGTGTTTATTACACAATAGATTGGCATGCTATGCTTCATGAGACTAAGCATGTACTCTTTAAAAAAGGAATTATAAGAGAGATCTCAATGTGTTTAGACAAGGTAATCTTTATAGTTTCAAATAATTCTGAGAGGTAGGATTCTGAAGTCTTAATCGAGGAGATTCAATAAAATATAACTTTTATCTGCTTATCAGTAATCAGAATTGAACTGATTTCTTATTGATACAGGAAAAATCAAATAAGAATAATAGTCATTCAACAATTCTTTAAAAAATATGTATTTGTGATGATTAATATTAGGTTTTATCTTGATTGGATTGAAGAATGTCTAGATAGCTGGTAAAGTATTACTTCTGAATGTGTCCGTGAGGGTGTTGCCATTGATATGTGAGTTAGTGGACTGGGAGAGGAAGATCCACCCTCAATGTGGGTGGCCACCATCCAATTGGCTGCCAGCACAGCTAGAACAAAGTAGGCAGAAGAAGGTGGGATAGCTTTGCTTGCTGAGTCTTCTGACTTCCTTCTTTCTCCCATGCTGGGTGCTTCCATCCATTCCTCCTGCCCTTGGACACCAGAATCCAGGTCCTTTGACCTTTGGACTCTGGGACTTGCATCAGTGGCTTGCTGGGGGCTCTCGACCCTTCAGTCACAGGCTGAAGGCTGCACTGTCAGCTTTCTTGACTTGAGGCTTTCAGACTCAGACTGTGCCACTACCAGCTTTCTTCCCCAGCTTGCAGATGGTCTATCATGGGACTTTGCCTTGTAATTGTGTGGTGAGCCAATTATCCCTGATAAACATGTATTCAGGAGATAATATATATGCAGTGACCTGAGCTGTACTTTGGGCCCTTTGAGCCAGGGCTGGAGCTGGAGCTGGAGCAGCTGGGATGCAAGGAGCAGTGTCCTGGGGCTGTGCAGAGCAGTGGGCCCTGGGCGTGGCCCAAGAAACCATTCTTCCCTCCTAGGCCTCCAGGCCTGTGATGAGTGGGGCTGCTGGGAAGATCTCTGAATTGCCTAAGAGTTCTGTCCCTCTGGAGAACCCTGACTAATACAGCATCGGTCATCTGTTTATGTGCAGACTCTGCCGACTGCTGGGAAAATGTCAACAAATAGAGTAGACAATGCCTCTTCCTTTGTGAAATTTATATTTTATGTGAGGAAACCAAACATCAAGTCAGCAACAAATAAGACAACCACAGATTGTGTAAAACTATAAATGACACAAATAAAATAATTCAATAGAGACCAAATGAGTAAGGCCAGCTAAAGATAAAATAAGAGACAACTTTTCAAAGGAGGGTAAAAACGAGCTACCTATAAGATCTTGGACTTTAGCATTCAGAGTTCAAAGAAATGAAGCGACAAGCGAGGATTCACTTAGAATGAAAATATTTGATCTGTTTGGGCAAGAAAGCAGTGAGAACAGAGACAGAGATTACTGGGGGAGGAGTGAGGAAATGGAGTGGTACAGATTAGAAAGGCAAGCTGGAGACAGGCCATTCAAACTTTTTAGGCCAATGTAAGACCTTTTTTTTTTTTAGTACAATAAAACCTTTGAACATCTTCAAACAGAAAAATGAAATGGTCTGAGTCTCAGTTTTAAAGGTTACTGTGGATGCATTATTTAGAATGGGCCAAAGACAACAAAAATGGAAAACAAGGAGATTCATAAGAGAGCCCCTTCTCTATCTGTGTTTAAATCATGGTGGCTTAAACTACAGTGCTACTAGTGCACTAGTAAAGAAAAAAAAATGCAGATTTAGTACATATCAAAGAGACAGAATTAAAAGGATTTTGATTAGATGTAAGGGTAAAATTGTGAATTAAATGAATGCTAGTTGCTCAGCTTCATAACACAGAAGTTGACTGCTTGCTCACCTGAAGTCTAATCAGCAGTTGTATTAGTCTGTTCTTGCATTCCTATAAAGAAATACCTGAGACTGTATAATTTATAAAGAAAAGAGGTTCAGTTGAATCATGGCTCTTCAGGCTCTACAGGAAGCATCGTGGCTTCTGCTTCTGGGGAGGCCTCAGGAAAATTCAAATCATGGTGAAAGGCAAAGGAGGAGTAAGGATCTCACATGGCAGGAGCAAGAGCAAGAGCAAGAGACAGAGGGGAGGTGCCACACACGTTTAAACAACAAGATCTCCTGAGAACTCACTCACTATCATGAGAACAGCACCAAAGGGATGCTGCTAAACCGTTTATGAGAATCCAGCCCTATGATCCTAACCACCTCCCACAAGGCCTCTCCTCCAACATGGGGATTACCATTCAACATGAGATTTGGGAGGTGAAAAATACCCAAACTCTATTATTCCACCCCCACCCCTCCCAAATCTCATGTCTTTCTCACATTTCAAAATACAATCATGCCTTCCCAATAGTCCCCCAAAGTTTTAACTCCTCCTAGCATTAACTCAAAAGTCCAGAGTCCAAAGTGTCATCTGAGATAAGGCAAGTCCCTTCTACCTACAAGCCTGTAAAATATAAAACAAGTTAGTTATGTCCAAGGATGCAAGGAGTTAAGTATTGGGTAATTATTTTCATTCCCAAAAGGAGAAATTGGCCAAAAGAAAGAAGCTACAGGCCCCAGCCAAGTTCAAAATCCAGCCAGGCAGTCATTAAATCTTAAAGCTCCAAAATAATCTTCTTTAACTTCACATCCCATGTCCAGGGCACACTGGTGTGAGGGGTGGTCTCCCAAGGCCTTGAGAATGGCTTCCATTGAAATAAATTGTATAAGTCCTAAGACATCATACTTATTCAATGAGATATTTTTCACTATTTAAGTTGGCAAACTAGACTTTACATTATGCACCAAAATACAATTATTATTTGTCCAGGATATCTCAATGCTTGATATCATTTGTCTACTGTTCCCTCTGTCCATTTCCCACTTAGATGACTTGAAAATTAACAGTGTAATTTCATCTGATTATAATCAGCTAGCCATTGACTAAAAATTCTCCTTGGCTATTACATTCAGTATTTCACTAGTACATTGTTGAATATGTGACTAGCAAATAAGCAATAAAAACTGCACTTCTCAAAAGATAACTAAAGATTTATTCCTTACATCACTAACTTCAAGAGAGATATTATTCTCTAAACTAATTTTCTTCTTGTCCTAGGCTTGAAGTTTCATGTATATCAAGATTACTATAATAAGGCTTTCATTGCAGGAAAACTGAAACCTATCTAGTAGTTTTTTATTACTGTCTTTGTCAGACATACTAGATTTTTCTAGCAAATCCCAAAGCATTCAAATTTATGCAAATTATTCATTTCCCAAAAAGGAGTTTTGACCTTATTAAGTATTGTTTTCATCTAAAGCTATGATGTAGTCCCAGGGTGTTCTATCAGACTACTAAGAAGTTTAGAGTTTCTACTTTACTCATTGAAAAGAAACACATGTATTTATTCAGTTTTTCAAACTAGCATGGATTAAAGCTGTGTCACTGATATGGTTTCGCTGTGTCCCCACCCAAATCTCATCTTGAATTGTAGCTTCCATAATCCCCATGTATTGTGGGAGGGACCTGGTGGGAGGTAATTGAATCATGGGGGTAGTTTTTCCCATGCTGTTCTCATGATAGTAGATAAGTCTCATGAGATCTGATGGCTTTCTAAAGGGCAGTTCCCCGGCACACGTTCTCTTGCCTGTGCAATGCAAGACATGTCTTTGCTCTTCCTTTTCCTTCCACCATGATTGTGAAGATTCTCCAGCCATGTGGAACTGTGAGTGTATTAAACCTCTTTTTCTTTATAAATCACCCAATCTAGAAGATTTCTTCACAGCAGTATGAAAATGACTAATACAGTTATATTTTAAAAAATACTCTTATAACACATAGAAAAAATATACACATAGAAAAAATGTATACACAAATAAGATAAGTTGTGCAAAGTAATTAGCAGAGTTATTGGCACTTAGTGCTCAATCAAATACATCAATCTTTTATAATAAAAATTATTTGTGTTATTAATCATCATAATAGTCAATGAAAACAGGTATTTGCAATATTATATTTATTGCCTTTATTAAAATGAATAATGAAAAGCCCCATGTTTTAGGTAGACACATATCCATTGTCACCTGGCTTATGGAAATGATATCACTTTTACATTACACAAAAATGAAATTCAATTAGCCAACTCATCCGTATTTTGATAGAGGTAGAATCTTATTTTTATCCTATTGTCCCAAGCCCTTTGTAGATTTAGGTTGAACTTGCATAATACTGACATTAACAATTAAGTGGTTGAGTCTACTAGTAACTAAGTGAACAGAATAATCAACTAGGTACAAAGTTGAAGTATATATAATTTATGAACATTAATAATCCCAGCGCTTTGGTTTTATATAATTATTGAATCCACATCTATTTATTGAGCATCTGCTCTGCAGGAACTGCTAGGGTATGTGCTTGTGAGCAATGGTGAAAAACACAGACCCCATCCAAGATTTCAGGGTCCTAAATAACTTCAGTAGTTTTCAAGATGCTATTGAAGACAAAGTCCCTGAAAACTAGGATCAAATGTAGTAAGTGTTAGAGACAACTAATTCTCCCTCTGTGTTTTTCTGGGGAGCGGTAAGTAAAATGTTCCAATTGTGAAGGCTTCATTTTCTGGCTATTGTGTGAGAGTGCTATATTTAGCAAATAAAAATACAGGACATCCAGTTAAATTTGAATTTCAGACGAACAACATTTTTTTGTGGTATATTGCATGTGATATTTGTATTTTATTTGGCAAATCTTTGTGGGGAGGAAAATCCTTTCCAAGCCAGCATGTTGCAACAGTAAACACTATGATGTTTTCCCAAGTTACAATTTAGAAAGAACATTTATATCAATTGTTTTAATGGGTGATTTCAAATCTTTACTGGCTAGATTTTTTTTTAGCATTAAAACATAAATGTGTTATGGGAGTAGATTTTTTAAG